GGCGCGGACTTGAACCAGTCTGCTAGCACGAGCTTGCCGTTCGGGCGAAGCACGCGTGCAGCGTTCCGGAAGAACAAGGGCTTGTCGGGGAAGTGGGACAGAGCTTCGGAGATCCAGACACAGTCGAACGACTGGGGATCAAACCTGCTTTCCATTTTTTCTGCATCGAGTTCGAAATAGTGGACTTTGCCGTTCTTGGGCCCCAGGGGTATGAAGGCGTCTGTGCCTTGGAGGGTCTGGGATGGAGCCGCTGCCGAGTTTGAAGAGGCATCTCGGGCATCTCGGGCGGCTTCATCGCTTGTGAGGCGTTTTGCGATCTGGACTTGTCGTCCACTGATTGTAATGCCGGTCACAGTGCAGCCATTCTCACGTGCCAAATGCCGGGTAGTTCCACCGATGCCGCACCCAACATCGAGAACCGTGGAGTGGGGTGCAAGCTTGGAGATGTCGAGCAGGAGGTTGATGAGGTTAGTTTGGCCCGTCTCCTTGGTGTCTTCAGGGGTGAGGAAGTAGGCGTGATGGATGTGCTGGCCCCTGGTGTACGGTTAGAAGGACAAGCTCGATGGGATGGACACGAGAGCGAGAGTCCATGTTTCCGCTCAACAGCACGTACCACAGGGAGTAATAATAGTCTGAAGCTATTTCATAATGGTGCCGTATACGCTGTTTCAAGCTGTCAAAAGAAGAGTGCGCTTCGTATGTGGGCACTTCGTAATCATCTCCCGCATGATTTGGTTGAACGGAAGGATCTATGTCTGGCTTCTCCATTGGGTCGCCCATTGAGTCTGGTTGGCTATTACATATGTAGCAGCAGCATTGTTGGACCAGTGGCCAGTGGGATGGTTGGGAGTTTTCTGAGAGGCGGATTTTGAGCGGAGGGTGAATGTGTGAGGGAGGAGGGGGAGGGGAAGTGACCATGTCATTTCAAAAGATGCAAGGGGGGGTTGTGCGGCAATAGTCATTAATCAGCCATGTCAGACAGTCACAATACGTGCCAAGCCCTTCACGGATACTTCACTTGCACATGTCTTTTCGTCATCCAAATAATGATATTGTGATCATGATGCATCAATTGTGCCTTTATCCCTCTATAGATGTATGTTTAATGCTCATCCAATTTCCCTCATTCTCCCACTCTCTCACTCCCTTCCTGCGCTTGTAATCATGTCCCTCCCTAGTGGCCATCCTTCTCCGGCTCCTCACTCGGCCCTCTGATCTAAGCTCTTTTTAGCATACCTCGCCGTTTTTGTTGGGGCGTTCAAGTCCAATGTACCTGCTCGCTACAAAACAAGCTTTCTTGCAGTGCGCTCTTTCTCCTCTCCAAGATAGGCAGATCATAGGCGGGATAAAAGGTGGTCTGACCCGGACATCTCAAGGCGGTGACGGAACAAGATAGCGACTGGATTCTCTGGAAAGACATCATATCACGGCAACATTGTACTAGGTACGGAAGAAAATATTGGCTGGACAAGTACATCATTGACTTGGTGTGGTTCATGGGGTTTCCGTCTTCCTTCGTGTGCGACTGTTGACTGACCCGAAGCTATAGACCATTTTTCTCCATCCCTTCGCACTCTCACATTGAGTATTCTCAAGCAGCAGAGATGAGCACCTTCACCGCATCCACAGCTTCGAGCGAACTGCCAGCTTCTCCTGCCTTGAAGCAAACACATGGCAGACTCCGTCACCATGATGGCCTCAGTAACGGCACCTCGACCTCCTCTCCCAAGCTACAGTCGGAACTCACCGCTCTCCAGCAACATGTGCTGTTCTGGGACCGCGACAACGACGGTATCATTTACCCTTGGGACGTCTACAATGGGTTCCGTGATCTAGGGTTTAGCGTAATTTTCTCTATCGGATCGCTTCTCATACCCTTGTTTTTCTCGTATCCAACAGGCCTGGCATATAGCTGGTTTCCTGATCCTTTGTTCAGGATCTATGTGGGAAGTATCCACAAAGCAAAGCACGGCTCCGACACTGGCATTTTCGACGTCGACGGGCACTTCCACGCCGACAGGTTCGACGCCATGTTCGACCGCTGGGATACCTCACGATGCGGCGGACTAAGTGCCGACGAGATGTGGAACATGTGGAAGAAGAACCGACTAGCAGCAGATATGGCTGGTTGGTGTTTCGGATTCATGGAAATGTGGACAACCTGGTTGTTGCTCCAGAAGAATGGCAGAGTGTGGAAGGAGGATCTGCGAGGTTGCTATGACGGAACCTTGTTCTGGAGGATAAGCGAATTGGCTCAGAAAAGGGAATGGAAGCAAGGCTACGGCATAGGGGATTTCTTGGGAGGAATGATGAATGGAGGGACGTGGAGAAGCTGGGAAGTCAAGAAGCAACACAAGGGGCACAGGGGCGACAACGGGGGATCCCAGTCAGGACCACGACTGCACTCTTCACACTGAATCCGGATACCTCAACTATTCAAGCGCCGACAGTCTATCCAAACCTCCCGGTTACTGCGCTTCGCCGTTCATCCAGGACATTGACAATCCATACAGTTTAGATGAGATATGTCATTAAAGACATTAGAGAAGCCTGATGCAGCCAATCTCTCACCAAAACACTGGCCCTCGGAGCTTTGTTCAGCCGATGCATGGATCCCCTTCGCTTCGAATGCTTTGGCGCTAAGCGATACCATCCATGTTCAGCATCGATGAACACCAGACAATCCACTGGGCACCCACAGGAACCCACCATATCTCTGGCAGCTCACAACATTCGCCTCCTTGTATCGAACCGTTCTTACACCCCTTTCATACAGCCACAATATCTAAAGTGAAATCTTTCAGATACCGCGTACCCCAGCATGGCCTATTGGCTCTCTGCCCTCGCTGTAATCTTCCTCTTGGTCATCACTAGCAAATTCCTGGCATGGAAACGACTGCGGCATATTCCCGGGCCATTTTGGTGCGGCTGGTCTGACCTGTGGATGCTTCGCAGAGCCTTCAAAGGATCACTATATGAGGAGCTTGATCACTTATGCCACAACTATGGTGCGCAGTATCCGCTGGGGAATGAGAATGTATTCTACCCCCTTTGGATCACTGATTGAACCTCTACAACAGGACCCCTCGTTCGCATTGCACCCGGATACTTGGTCTGTGGTGACCCAATTGAAATTCGCAGAATATGGGGAGTGCGCTCTCAATTCGATCGAGCGCCATGGTTCAAGGGTTTCCAGCTCGATCCGCCGAATGATTGCACTCTATCCATACGTGACAACAATCTGCACACTCTTCTCCGATCTAAACTTCTACCAGGCGTAAGTATCTCCATCTAGCCCTGTTCACAAATTGAGATGAGATAGTACTCTGGAAAAGACGTTGAAGGCCTACACGAGGCGATCGACCAGCAAACGGCAAAGTTCGCCCGCTTTCTCGAAGAGAAGTATCTCTCGACAGAAACAGATTTCCGCCCAGTTGACTTTGCTCGAAAAATCCAGTTCTTGACCCTGGACCTCATTTCCACATTCGCACTGGGACGGACTTTCGGCTTCATGGATCGAGATGACGACCTCTACGACTATCTCAAGACGACGGAAGAGTCACTTCCCCTTATGCAAATGATAGCTTTACTGCCCTGGCTCTTGGGCTTGCTACAGTCTCCTCTCTTTAAAGCGATTCGGCCAACGCACACTGACGCCATCGGACTGGGCAAGATCATGGGTCTTGCCAAAGAAATCGTGGCCGAGCGATATGGCGACTCAAAGGTCGTCAAACGAGATATGCTCGGATCATTCGTTTCTCACGGTCTGACGCAAAAGGATGCCGAGTCAGAGTCTCTTGTCCAGATCGTGGCGGGCTCTGACACGACTGCCACTGTGATTAGGATCGGGATATTCCATGCCTCGACGTCGCCACTGGTATATCAAAGCCTACAAGAAGAAATCGATAGAGGCGTCAAAACCGGTCAGATATCGTCCCCCATTAAAGAGACCGAGGCGCGGGCACTTCCATACCTGCAGGCGTTCATCAAGGAGTGCTTCCGAATCTGGCCACCTATTACTGGAATTGTCCCGCGAATGTCGGACTCAGATGCTGTGGTCTGCGGCTATCGGGTTCCTGCCAATACAAACGTCGGCTGGAGCGCACGCTCGGTAATGCGAGATAGGCATATTTTTGGGCAGGATGCAGACGTATTTTCTCCTGAGCGATGGCTACGCGCTCAGAGTGAGCAGCTTCGACTCATGGAGAATACCGTTGAGCTCATCTTTGGTCAAGGAAAATGGGGTTGTCTAGGCAAACCTATTGCTTTGTTGGAGCTGAACAAGGTCTTTGTCGAGGCGAGTACTTGTCATCATGGAACATAGATCTGTGACTGACTGTGACAGCTTTTGCGACGATTTGACTTTACTGTGGTCAATCCAGCCCATCCTATGGACACGTTTGACTACGGCGTTATGACGCAGTCGAACCTCATAATGAAGATCACCAAGCGAAAGAGTCCAATGTAGCATCATTGATAGCAGCACCAACGAGTGGGATGAGCCGAGTGCTGACGGGGAGCAACCCACGCGGCAACTCGGCATAATCAGGGGTGGCCTGAAAATTGATGGAGCTCTAGCGAGTCGTTTACCTAGCATTCCACCTGCTTGTACAGAAACGGATTTATTCCTGGCGCCCGACTTTGCCCGGAGTCCTAGCTTTCGACCACGTTCAGACCTATGTACCTTTGTCTGCACAGCGCTCATTTGGGCATGCGAGAAATCGATGAATATCAAACAATCAAACGTCCATTGGCCCCATCAACAGTTGGAGCTCAGAGTTAAAGCCGTCCCTGGATACTGCTCCCTAGGTGGTGACTAGCCTTCCCGCGGATACGACGCCGCTGGTCGCCGAACGGGCCGTTAGCTTCAATCGTAGGCGAATCCATCGCAAAGACAGGTCACGATAACCCGCCTTACAACTTGTTGTTGACGAAGCTTTCCAACGTTCTTCTTCTCAGCGAGATCTGGAGGACCCGCAAGATCGGCTCTATGTTCAATGATGCAGGAGCCCGACGATGAGCAGCATGTTGACGATGTTCTGGTAAGCACGTTCACCCCATTATTCTTGTGGCATAATTGACGTCAGCCTCAAGCAGGCCGACACCGACGAGGATTCGGCTCTTGACCTGGTAAGTCGAGGGCGCCGACACCAGGATACATACAATAACATATGGGCCGGCATAGGGTGAAGATCAATTGTCAACTGCCTCGCTGACGTCCACTATCCGACATTTCGAGATCGAAAATGGCCATACTTACCACGCGCTCAATGCGGGAAGTCAGTACTGCTCTTTCTGGCTATCATGTTGACAGGCAGAAACTAACTGCGCGGACTTCTAGAATACATCCTGCCGAATGACGAGGTAGTCCTTCGTTTTGAGGATTGTAGGTGTACCTTTGCTGATCCGTCTATTATCAGCAAGAAAAAGACCGACTGGGTACGTCTAACCATCAATTACGAGAGAACAAGACCCAGACTGATCACAACGTTGGCGGCAGATATCCAAAATCAACACTTCCTAGCTACCTTTGAGGGCCGTGCCCAATTTGCACCGGGGGCAGATACGGCACAGCGAGTCCTCGATGTTGGTACCGGGACTGGGATATGGGCAATTCAATTTGGTACTGAACTGCATTTGTCCAGGATTGCTCGAATGGTTGCTGACGACTTGATTCCAGCTGATGAACACCCCGCAGCGCAGGTACCAGGGCCCATCTAACGAACAAACCGACCAAGTCGAACTTTGCTGACTGTCATTGCTTTGGAGGTTATCGGCGTCGATTTGAGCCCGATACAGCCTACACTGTGCGTGTGAGTGGTTGGGAAGTCTTTTGCCCCAGACTGATGACAAGGCAGTATCCCACCGAACTGTTCATTTGAGATCGACGACGTTGAACGAGAATGGACATGGTCGTTCCGCTTTGACTATATCTTCAGCAGAATGATGGTGGGCAGTTTTGCTGATTGGCCTAGTTTTATCGGCCGAGCTTACGAGTATGTTTTGTTAGTGACTCTCTTACACGCTCGAACCATTGTCGCTGACAAAAATGTGCCTCTTTGTGGTCGTCCAGGAATTTGAACCCCGGCGGCTGGCTGGAACTCCAGGACTGCATTTTCCCACTGGCGACCGACGACGGGTCTTTCCACGAGGGCCAGCCCATTTATGAGTGGAGCTCCTTGCTGCTCGAAGCTAGTGAGAAGCTGGGACGGTCGTTGGGCGACGCCACTCGTCACCGCGAGCACATGACGGCGGCAGGCTTCATCAACGTGACGGTGAAGCACTTCAAGTGGCCCTCGAACCACTGGCCCAAAGACCCGAGGCACAAGGTCGTCGGGCTGTGGACGTTGGCCAATATCGGCGAGGGCCTGGAAGGCCTGAGCATGGCACTGTTGTCGCGGGGTCATGGGTGGTCGCGAGAGCAGGTCCTAGCCTACCTCACTGGTGTGCGGAGAGATCTGCAGGACCGGAGGATTCATGCGTACTGGCCAATGTGAGTGGTTCTTCTTTCCCTTGACTATGCGCGCGCGAACAAAAGAAACCAAATCTCATGTGTCATCCGTGACAGAATCGTCGTTTGCGGTCAAAAGCCAAAACCTGCTTCGACCGCCGCCTCCTCGCCGGGGTAGGACAGGAGTATCTCGTCCATCGCCAGACCTCGACTTGAGCGCGAATGTAATGAACCCGGGCCAGTTTGTATTTGTGGGAGGCAGACATACAGACATGCAGTAACGACGGGAAGAAAAAAGTGGTCAATGTGAACGTTTACTTCTACTTCGTGTACTTTGTGGTTTGTGTACGTTGTGTTGACTTTGGTGGGCATGTTTGAGCGTCGATCTTTGCGTTACGAAGTACATGTTACATACATACCTATTCAGCGTGTCTGGTCCAGCCAGATGATATTGCTCGGATCCTGCCTGTTCCAGTTTCAGGTTTGGACGTGATGTGATGTGATGTGAATTCAGACTGATATGATATCAGTTAGGGACCTGAGTACTAGGTACATAGATACCAGGTGATCTGTATGGAAAGTCTATGAATTTATGAGGGTGTGTATGTGTGTGTTACCTAGCCACCTACATACCTAGCCAGCTAGGACCGAATAAAGGGGCGAAAGGAGCGTAGACGGGTATAGACATATGCTGGATATGTTTAGGTAGGAGAAATTCCTGAATCTTTTGTTTTGTTCTATCTCTATCTCTATCTCTACGAGTACCTCCATCTCAATCTCAACCTCAAATCTTAACCCCTGAACTGAACTGACCTTCAGACCCGTCTGTCACCCCGTCGCCCTCCACCCGTCACACTTCACAGCATCTCTCATCCTCGAGATCGTCATCGTCATCGTCATCGTGAGATCATCATCGACACCGTCAACCAAACATCCTCACCCTCTCCTCCAGGGGCAGATAGGTCCTCTCGCGACTCCTCTCGAGGAGGCCGTCGACCGGCGCGCCAAAAACCAGTTGCGAATGCAGGGTCCACGTCGCGGGGAGGTCCCACTGGGCGAGGACCCGTTCGGTGAAGGCGGGCATGAAGTCGTAGTGCTGCAGGTTGCAGCCTAGACCTTCGAGTTCGAGCGCGGTCCACGCGATGAACTGGTGCATACCGTTGGAGTGGGCGGACCCTGTGTTCCAACCAACCAGGGGGGGACAGGTTAGCACTCTTTGCACACATGGAGGGAGTGTCTCTCTCTGTCTCTCTTTTTCTCGAAAGAGACGGGGGAGATGGGAAGGGGGAGATGGAGCAGGGGAGACAAACACTGCGGAACGACATGCCCCAGCGCGGGATTCTTCCCCTTCAGGACATCCAGGACCGCCTGGTCCTCGAACCACAGCACGGTGCCGTACGCGGCGCGGAACCCCCGGAGCCTGCCCGCCAGCCCGACATACGCCTGCTCGGGCATCGCCTCCTTCAGGGCCGCGTCGCCAATGTCCCACAGCCGCTCGTGTTCCCGTCCGACCAGGACGACGGCCCGCGTCGACTGCACGTTGAACGCCGAGGGCGCGTGCGTGATTGTCGCCTGGACGATTTCGCGGATCCGCGAGTCTGGAATCGGTGCGGTTTTGGTGAGCGTGTAGCAGGAGCGGCGGGTTTGGATTGCGGAGAGGAGGGCGTTGGTCGAGGCTGTCGCCGTCGCCGTCACCGTGTCTGTGCCTGTGGCGGGGGTGGAGGACGACATTGTGGAACAGCGCCGTCAAATTCTTCTGCTAGTGATTGCAATTGTAACTGTAACTGTAACTGTGAATTGTTAAATTGTTGGACTCTGGTTGTGTCGTCTTTTGTCTAGATATGCAGCGCTTTTTCTTCAAAGCTTTATAGAAAAATCCACCTCCTGGACCTTTTCGTTATTATAGTGATATAGTAGTGATGTAGTGACTTCCCACAGACGTCGTCTCCAAGATCTCGAAAAATTAAAATCGCACCCGAACGACACGTCTGTCGGCGCCGAACGAATAGCCCGTCAATTCAGTTTCCCGAGTCAAAAGTCCTACATTGTGGATGTGTATGCGACGGGGTACATGGAGATAAAAAAAAAAAAGGTATCGATCGATCGGCTCGGCGAAGCACGCAATCCCTCCCTTCCTACGAGGTAATACCGAGTACGCGTTCGTATTGGGCCCAGAAATCAAAGTAGAGTACCTCGTACCTAGATCCTTACCTAGCTTGCCTAGCGAGCTACTAATAGTCTTTTGGGCGGTTGCTTGGTATCTTTCTTTACTTGTAGGGAGGTAAAGATGCGAGATTGGTGGCGATACACAAGCACACGAAGGTGACTGACAAGCTTTCTTCCAAGGGTCGCGGTCGCGTGGTCACTGATGGGCATGGGGGCTGCACCATGCATGGAGTATCGGGCGGCGTTTGGCACAGCCGAGCCGTTAGCTTAAGTTGTACTCTAGGTACCTACGATGCTCACCCGTTAACTCCATACGTCCTAGACACTTGGGGTTGCTCGTAGAAAACGGCGGTCGGAGATAGAAACGCGAGCCGACCAAAGTATTATTATTGACGAACGCGTGCCGTGTCTGGTACATATGTGATGGTGATACTGGTGGTGTTCTAAGATCGAGTATACGAGGCGAGGAGCCCGTACAGTATTGAGTACATCCTACTCATCTGATTCGCCTCATACAATTGTGGGGAAACACGTCCTCTGAAGCCAGTCACCCAGTTACCAATACCTGCTATCATACTAATGGGGTATGAGCCTGCCAGCCTGCCAGCCTGCCAGCCTGACTGCATCAATACAATATGATCTCGACGACATGCCACATACATAGCTTCCCCGCCTTGCGCTCTCTTACATAAAATGTCTGTCTGTGATGCCTTTCAAAAAAAACCCCCCCAGCACTGCCTATCGCCTGTGTCGTGCTGGATCCTGCTCTTGACCATCTCACAAAAAAAGCTTTTACATTGACAAAACTCGAAGCTTGCCGCTTTGACGCCCATGTTTGTTACTACCAATCTCTTCTTCAAATACCGATTGACTTGCTCGAGTTGGTCAATCGGTACCAACCCAGCCCGAACGCAGCCCAACTCAGGCCCAGCAACACGGGCGCCCCTCGCTTCTGCGGCTCGCCGTGGCTCTCCTTGAACTCGTCGTCCACCCACTTCGTGCCCGGGTACAGGATGGCCGAGACCTGCGTGGCCCAGTAGAAGCTGCTCATGAGCGAGGCCGTGAGCAGGTTGTCCAGCAGGCCCGAGGGCGTCGAGGCATTGGTGCTCCGCCAGGTGTAGTACCATGTGAGCAGGCCCAGGCCGAGCCCCGTCGACATGGTCTGGCCGTTGTGGAATTTGGCGTGCGGCGTCCACCGCGGGTTGAAGACGTGCGTTTCGTTCCAGTCGGCCAGGTAGCCTCCTGCGGCGGCGGCGAGGCCGAGGAGGGAGAGGATGATGCGGCTGGGGAGGACGGCGGAGGAGGTCGAGGTGGAGGACATGATGGGTTGAGGTGAGTGATGGGTAATGGGTGACGGGTGACTTGGGATTTAATGGACGGACGTCTCTAAAGAGTTGATGAGAGAATGGCAGAGTGGGGGAGGGTTAAAGGTGAGTTGGGTTGAGTTGAATAGATGTGATTGTGGTGAAGGAGGACGCTTGTTACGGGCGCGAAATGAATGAGATTCACGGACATGCGCAGGTCAACAGTTTGGCTCCAATGCAGTTTCGCCCAAGATGTCATGATCAGGGGTACCACCACTTTGCTCCACCACTGCCCTACCTACACTCCACAGGGGGGTTTGAAGCATGGCCGTACCAGCCGCTACAGTGTTTGTACTCGTCTGTACTCGGTACCCGTAGGCTAATGATGATGCAGGGTCCCCTACGAGGTTTACATACAACTTGACCTTGTCCCCGGCGCTAAAGTACTCTCCGTCAAGACAAGACCCGATTGAAGCTTTTCCTTAGGGCAACCCACTGCCCCTTCTCCTTTCCCTCTTTCCCCCCCGGAGGGCTCCAAAGGTAAAATCAAGCTTTATTAAAACTATACCTCGTATAACGTTACCAGTAACTAACTAAAAGGTCGGTGGCGGGCCTGAGAGGCAGTAAGAACAGTCCCCCCTTCCTTCGTCTTACCTTGAGAGCCTGGGCATGTAGTATGAGGCTCCTCACTCAATTGCACAGTACGACCACAAAGAAGGAAGAATAGGGATAGAGAACCTCCCACCCTCTCACACTTCCTCAACGCCCCAACCCCATTGTACGCTCAACAGTTCGACCTCGGAAAACATCAATCATGCCAACACGTCAATTACAAGTCGGCATCGTCGGGGCCGGCATCGCAGGCTTGTCCGCAGCCATCGCCCTCTCCCACGCCGGCCACTCTGTCTCGCTGTACGAGAAATCCCGATTCCGCAATGAGACGGGCGCGGCCATCATCATCGGACCCAATGGCACCAGGATCCTGTCGAAATGGGGCTTCGATTTTGTGAGGGCCGGCAGCCTGGATTACAGCCAGATGCGCCGCGTCAGGGCCGACACGGTCGAGGTCGACTCGGAGGAGTTCTTCACCGACATCAAGGAGCAGTACGGCGACAGGTGGCTGCTCTTCCACCGTGCCGATCTCCACGCGGGCTTGAAGGCGTTGGTGGAAGCGTGCCACCCCCAACCACCCGAGATCAACTTGGGCGTGCAGGTCGTTGATGTCGACGTCGAGACCGGTCTCCTCAAGCTGGCCACGGGCGAACAAGTCCAGAAGGACCTGGTAGTCATCGCCGACGGCGCCCACAGCGAACTCATCGCCAGTGTCATTGGCCGTCCTTACCCCGTGAGCAAGTCGCCCATGTCCATGTACCGCTTCCTGCAACCCTTTGACAAGGTCCTGGCGCATCCCGAAGCCGGCAAATTCTACCAGAACCAACCACCCGGGTTCACCACCTTCTACAAGACAGAGGTGGGCCGGCCGGGTCTGCTCCTCAACACCTACCCCTGCCGTGGTGGAGAGCTGCTGTACGTGGCGCTGGTGCACCCGACCAAACCCAAGGAGAAGGGCATCGAA